CCTCGAGCAAGCACCTCAAAGCCCTGCCATGGACAAGCAAACCACAGCCTTGCCCTCGAGCAAGCACCTCAAAGCCTTGCTCTCGAGCAAGCAATTAAGGCCTTGCACAACGCAAGCGAACAAGGGCCTTGCACGAGATCGTCCCCAGATCCCAGGTCTCGAGCACGACCAGACTTCCCGACCACTTGCCCCTTCAAGTGCTGAAACATCCATAGCACTCCTCGGGAAGCACGAGACAGTACTCCTCGGGATTCAGTTCGAGCAGTTCGCGTTTCTTATCCTCGAGCTTTATACAGCGAGAACGTTCCTCGAATTTTCAACGATCATTCGCTATAGAACGACTCCTCGAGGACGTCTTTCTCCTCGAACGTCACCCTCAATATTCCCATTAATGTGGATTATTCAGTAATAAGACTACTCGGGGTCGAGGCCTTACGTTCCTCGAGTTCGGGGACGCTTATTTACGGTGATAGTACTGCTCAATGTACTTCAAACCGATCTGTCCTCGAGTTCTAGACTTGTTATTCACGATAATAAGACTGCTCGAGGTCGAATCTTGTCTCGCTGTAATAACTATGCTCGGGGTCACGTCTTCACTTTCCTCGGCATCGAAACTTGTCATTCACGATAAGGTAACTCGAGTTCGAATCTTCACTGTCCTCGAGGTGGAGAATTGTCTTTCGCTGTTATACCTCTCCTCGGGGTCACCTCTTCACTCTCCTCGAGTTCGAGGCTTGTGATTTACAATAATAAGACTGCTCGAGGTCGAATCTTCACTGTCCTCGAGTTCGAGAATTGTCTTTCGCTATTACACCTTTTCCTCGGGGTCACTTCTTCACTCTCCTCGAGTTCGAAATATGTCATTCACGATAAGTTTACTCGAGGTCGAATCTTCCTCGAGGTGGAGAGTTGTCATTCGTTGTAATAGTGTTTGTTGCTCGGTGTAAGTTATAACTTATTACCCTCGATGCTTCACAATAGTAAGACATCCTCGGGGTTGAATTAATCATAATAAGGTGTCTTTTTCACATTAATAATGTTGCTTAGTCTGCGATTATCATCCTCGAGTTTCTAACATTGTTGTTTACTCTTCATTATCCCCTAATGTTGCTCGATGTCATAATCGGAGTGGCAAAACAAAGAAACGAGCATTCATATACCAAAAGAAAAGCTTCTAAGTTGTCCGAGCCATTCTTCGGGCTCTACAGAATAAAATAATAATAATAACAAAAAGAGGTTCAGCCTAGTCTTGGCCGTCATT